TAGCATACATGATTGTGCTTTTCGCCGCTGGTGTGATGCATGCCGCCAATGCACATGTTTGCTTGTTTTCGCAGGGTGCTATTAGCCCCCACGGCACACACGGTTGTGCATTGCATACCATGTGCATTGCACGGCCCTAATGCACATGTTCCCTTAGTACCAATGTGTGGGATGGACGGCGTATCCTACACATTTTGTTTAACACAATTGTGTGCTATTGTTTGCCCCATGGTGCGTGCCTCTTGTGTGCAATGGCCCCTCCCCAACCGCACAACCTTTTTTAGTAACGATTCATGGAACCGTAAGCGATGGGGTTTTTGAACCATGTGAGATAACATGATTGCACTAGTGGTGGAGAAATGCGGATTACGTATGGGACAAGAATGTTGCTGTTACCATGCTTGTGAACCGTGAACTCCATAAATGATATGATTTAGAACATGAAAATTTGCTCAATGGTGAATTTCATGATGAATTTTTCAAATTATGGATATTAAATTGCACCAAATCCATGGGCGGTTGAACCATATAATTTGTATCCTTATTTCATTCTTGCGGTGCTAATAGTGGTTTCTTGCCTTCCCACTTGTGCAATCTTTCCACCGCTGCCACCACCTGCAATTAAATTAGAAGGTAACTCTTGAAGTTCTTATCATCGATGGTGACTACATCTTATGCAATGCCCTTTACAAGTAATATATTGAGAATACTTTAGTCTGAGTACGGTGCATATTGCCATATTGGTGTCTAACAGTGCGATGTGTTGCTTATTTGTTGATATTTTCTTATGTTGGTTCAGAACTCTTTTCAAATAGAGCATCATTATCTTCAAACGACTATGTAACTTTCAGTTTCAGCGAAACTCATTGCAGGTGAATCCCTTTACCTCTTTGTTCCAGTCAGTCCTGAAGATAACCCACATCAATATGATGTTCTGCATTAGGGTCCCACCAATCATACCACTCCATAAGCCCTGCATTAATTTTGTGTCATCCACTCTCACATACCAAAAAATATGCATCACTGAATCAGGGTAGATTTATCCATAGCCATGCAAGGAGGCCTTAATTACCGCCGCGCCAAGGTCAAAGTAGAAGCCGAGGAGGCAGCCAAGCGGGACGCCAACGATGTAGTAGCAGCCAACATTGACGTAGGCGACGAAGGCTTGCCATCCGCAGCCCACCGCTACCCCTGCTTATGAAATACTCCATCAGTGCGTGTGTGCACAGTTGTATAATCCAATGTTCAGAACAGGTCCTACGTTCTCTGTATGTTTTTGTATTTACCTGACAGCACCGGTTGGATGCCGTTGAGAATGAGGGTGAGCGCCAGCAGTGGGGTCAGCTTGGACACTGCTGCTGCCACGTCCTCACCGCCAGTGTAGATGTAGCTGATGTAGTCACGGAAGAAAAGAATGACCATTGAGATTATCACCGATACGATGAATGTCAGCATCGTCACTACCACCACGGAGAACGCCGCTGACTTGGGATTTCCGGCACCAAGCTCATTGCTCACCCTCACGCTGTGTTGTAAAACACACAGTCCCAAGTTGTTACTCCTTGCCGAGTTCAGTTCATTGCAAGTGCAAACTTCATAAGTAGCTACGATGATTATCTTTACCTGGCTGCTGCGTTGCATCCAACTGAAATCATGAACACCCACCCAGAAATGGTCATGCTGCAAACGTACAAGTATGGCAAAAAGATTAATTGTGTTGCGCCATCATCTCAAGAAAGCATTTCATTCAGAAAAAAATCTCAAGAAAGGATGCGACCAATATTAGTCAAATTTCGTTAAAACTAATTACCAGACAGTGAGTGACGCGAGGGCAATTTCGGGGTCCTTGAGGAGGCCAGCAGCGAGGACGAGTATTTGAAAGTACCAATTCTCAAGGCAGATCATGACAGCAGATGAAATGGACAACTTGAAAAACTCAGGCAGACCAGAGAATGCCTGCACGGAGAATCCAGACCATGTGAGCCGGCACCGGCTGCTATTAACGATGTAGACGAAATGAGCGACCACGATGATCCACCAGCTGATGCTCAGCATGAGCGAGGAGCCCAGGAGCCCCAGACCAAATTTGTAGACGACGAGGTAGCTGAGTACGAGGTGGACGGCAAGCGTCCCGGCGGAGATGTATGCGCTCGGCGCCATGATGCTCTGTGCCTGCATGAACTTCTGGATGGGAAAGATGACCGCGTAAGCGAAGATCTGCGGGATGAGGCCATAGACAAAAATGGCGGCGGCGTGGGCGATCTCGGGTGACTGGCCGAGGAGGATAAGAATGCGGCTGGAGAAGATGTAGAGGACGGCGAGTGGGACGCCGGTCGCCATGAGAAGTATGGCCGAGCGTTGCATGTAGATGCCCATCATGTCGAACTTGTTTGCGCCGTACGCCTGCCCGCACAGCGTCTCCACCGCGCTCCCCATGCCAAGCTACATTACGTTATAGAGTTCGTCAATTGCAATTGCTGATAGACTAGCCGTCCTTGACCACAGCTAGCATGTCTGTTAGTTCTATAGGATTTTACGAAAGGCGAGATGAGATTTAGCAAGGCTTCGTGAAATCATAAACTCAGGAATTGCAAAGCAGTATTTTTATTCATATATTAACTCGAAACTAGTGTAATGTTCGTGCGTTACCATATTACTATTATATTGGATTAGTAAGATATACAGCAAAACCAACGCAATTCCTAAGATCCGCAGCCAGCCACGGTTCGGATCAGGTGGACGGAGTAAGAAGATGTTGAAGAGCGGAGAAAAAACCAAACAGGCAAACATCGCGCGTGTGTAACACCCTCAGGTCTGGGTGCACCATTGAATTTTTGAATCTGTGGAGGCATGCACAAATATCAAGTAGGTGCGGCTCGGCCACATGAGAAGTTATAACGGAGCTAAACCCATTTAATGTTCTGACTTAGATTTTCTTTGACAAAAGGTGAATTTTATGGAATCAAAACAAAGCATCGAGAGAATACGAACACAATGACTACACACCCGACTTCTGTACAATTGGGATGCAGAGTCAACACCAACACAAGGAAACAAAAACTCATCGGCAAACACAAGAGTCAGATAAGTAGGGATGACAATGGGTAGGGTATTGGGCGCGGGTAGAACAATACCATACCCGTACCCGTGTAGTTAATTAATGGGTATAAAATTCTAATCATACCCGTGTTCACGGGTTTAAAACTTTACCTGTACCCATACCCGATGGGTATCCATACCCATTGGATACCCAATGGGTAAATCAAATAGTGCACAAGAATAACAGATAGATGAGTACATAACAATTACCTCAATTATATTGACAATTGGTGACAACTTTAACATAGGTTCACAAGCTCACAACACAAATTTAACATAGGTGCATTTGTTAACCATGAGTAAGGTTCACATGTCTGTATAAATGGGTAGGGTGTGTGTATAACCATGGGTAAAAGGCTATACCCGTGCCTTACCCATGACTTAATGGGTAGGGTATGGGTACTACCCGTGGATATAAATTTGTGCCCATACCATACCCATTCGGGTACGATATCCGTGGTATCCATACCCATGGATAAAATTGCCATCCTTAACTAGAACCATATGCATCCTAAATTTGGGTCAAATTTGGGTCGGAGGCGTACACAAAGTGAACGTTAATTTTATGGCTAATTTTTTAAAAATAATACACTTTTTTTAATAAATTTAAAAAATATTGCGCCGTTTAGATTTATTTCAAAAATAATACGGCATCGGTGTCCGGGAAGCCCACTGGCTTCCAGTCGGCCACCGGTAAGCCGAGTGGGCCCAATCGGCCACCGGCAAGCCGATTAGTGGCCAGTCGGCCAGGTGCGCATGCAGTCAGTCAGGGGGTAGCCGATAAGTGGCTACAAGCCTCGATGGTTGGACTGATGGGTGCAAGTGCTCGTGCTCCTTCTCACGGCTAGCTTCAACGCGCTCGTGCTCCTGCTCATCCGATAAGTGGCTATATATCTCATCTGGGTGATTACCACCTGCAGCACGGCCAGCTTCAATGTGCTCGTGCTCCTGCTCATGCCGCACGGCAGCCTCGAAGCGTACCTCTACCCGCACGACGACGACGGCGGCGGCGGCAACAGACTAGGCTTCGGGCAGCTCGTGGGCATCGCGAGCGACGTGGTCGAGGGGATGGCCTACCTGCACCACTACGTGCCGGTGAGGGTCGTGCACTGCGACCTCAAGCCGAGCAACACTCTCCTCGACGACGGAATGCGCGCCGTGATCTCCGACTTCGGTATCGCGCGGCTCGTCGCGGGCGCCGAAGCCACCAGCAGCATGAGCGACGACGACTCCGCCGCTCCGTGCAACTCCATCGCCGCCGGATTGTTGCAGGGTTCGGTTGGCTACATCGCACCTAGTACGTGACACACACATAAGTTTGTGCATGCATGCTCGACGTGGCATTGATTATCGGGAAGCGGGAGTGGGAGTACGAGCGCGTTGAAGCTGGCCATGCGGCATGAGCGGGAGCACGAGCACGTTGAAGCTGGCCATGCGGCATGAGCGGGAGCACGAGCACTTGCACCCATCCGTCCATCCATATAGGCATATAACCACTTATGGGCTATCCCGAAGCCGACTGCATGCTCACCTGGCCGACTGGCCACTACTCGGCTTACCGGTGGCCGATTGGGCCTACTCGGCTTACCCGTGGCCGACTGGAAGCCAGTCGGCTTCCCGAACTCGGATGCCGTATTATTTTTGATTTTTGAAATAAATCTAAACGGTGTAATATTTCTCAAATTTATTAAGAAAAGTGTATTATTTTAAAAAAAATAGCAATTTATTTTATGTGTTCACCTAGTCCGTCTGTGTTCAGGCCTGGCACACGTGTCACCGACCCATCTCTCTATCCTTCTTATTTTATTGGCTGGCCCACCACCCCACCTCACGTCTCTCCGCAGGACGGTCTCTCCCCCACAGGTCGATGTCGCCACACCACCGAACCTCGCCGCCGCCAGAGTTCTCTGCTACCCTGCTCCTTCCTAGCTTCCTTCCTTCGTCCTCCTCCTGTCCTCCATCGTTCGTTTACCCCTCTCTCTCCTACAGGTCGCTGCCGCCACCGTCTCAAGTCGTGAAGTAGTAGTAGCAGCAGCAGCCGAATGGGTGCTGCAAAGGGACGCGTCTCGGCGCTGCTCGGGGCCTTCGCCCCTCCGGCGTCCGCGGCGTCATATCCTGCAAGTGAGACCCGGCTTCTTGCTGGGGAAGTGGGGATCGAGCCAGCAAGCTGGGCTAAGTCCACGGTGAAGTACGAGGGCCGGGTGCACATGGAGACGGCCTTCGATGGCAACAAGTTGGGGATCGAGCCTTAGGCCGTGGAGGTCACCCAGAGTGGCGAGTTGCTCGTCCGCCTCTCCAGTCTCTGTGTCCACTACGGCCACACCTACCTCGTCTTCGAGTTCGGCGAGAACGGCGCGCTCAGCGACCGGCTCCACGCGGCGGCGCCACCCTCATGTGGAAGCAGCGTGTGCAGGCGGCCTTCGACGTCCCCGACGGCCTCGTCCGCGTGCAAGGCAGCGGCGCGGGAGCTCGAGGCAGTTCATGGAAGGACTCCCACCAGGTATTCGACGGAATGCCGGGATGGACATCACAAGATGCGCCCAACTCAAACGAAAAAGCAGACATGGTCGAGTGAACGAGCGACCTAAATGAATAAAATGCACACAAAATCGGTGTCCGTTGATGTCACCGCGTTGGAGTTGCTCTCAAAACGGGGATTTCGAACTGTCCGCACTCTGCGCACCGAAAAACTCTAGGCGGGGCTCTTTCGGCGAAAGATTACTAGTCCTCGCCTGAATCAACACAAAATATCCGGCGCCGGGCTACGCTAAAGATTCGGACGGTAGCCCAAGTGGGGCAGTTATGGAAATATATACGATTCAAATACCAATATAAGATGCGCATTCCGTCTATACTTTATATCCTGTCTAAACGCTGCAGTGACAAGATTAAAAAAATACTGCTCAATAGAAACTGTCCCCAACACCGCTTGAAGTCTACGAAGGGGCGCTCTCAAAAGTTTTATATAGACAATGGGTTGAATAGCTGATTTCTATAGTTCAGCGAGCTGTCAGATGAATAGTCGTTTCATGATACCCAGGGTTTAGAGCAACTCCAACGAGCTGACCCAAACGGACGACGCTTTTGCCCGCCTTTTGTCCGTTTGGGTCGGCAGCCCTCCCGATGTCCGTCCTTTTTTAGATTTGGGTCGGCAGCGCGCCCAACGTGCTGACCCATTTCATGACCGCGCACGCTTAGATCATGCCAGCGCGCTGGAAAGGTTCGCGCGCGCGGGGAATCGGCCTAGCGCGCGCTGGCTTTGGCGCACCAGAGCGCGGGAAATGTTCGCGCGCATTTTGGCACGCCGCGGCCGGCGCTCGTTATAAGATGGCGCTCCATCCACACTCACTCCGCCGCCCACTCGTCTCGCCCCCTCTCACTAGTCTCGCCGCCTGTGCGCCACCATGTCGATGTGTCCTCGGCGCTTCGGATTTTCGCGGAGTCCGCGAGCGCCCCTCCGTCACTTTCTTCACCGAGTTCTTGTTTGGCGAGAAACGCCTCATCCTCGGCACTTTCAACACCGCTAAGCAGGCGGCCCGCGCATACGACGTGGCAGCGTGGCGCCCCCTGCGGCCGAGTCGGGAGATGAATTTTCCTGACGTGTTGAGTCAGCGGGCGCAGGATCTGGCGCCTCTCCCGCAGCTTTTCACAAACGAGGATCGTCGCGTCCATCGGAGGCGGCTGCATTGCCTCGCCATCGCCGAGATGGACGTGCAAGCCTTGGTGGTGTGGCGCGAACGCTTCCCGCAGGACATCGTCGACGAACGTCAGTTCTATGAGCAGAGGAAGACGGAGAGGAGGCCAGGAGGACGGAGCGAGCCGCCTATCGGGAGGGCAAGCGTGCGCGGAAGCAGGCCGCTCAATTGAGACTGAAGCTGCGAGAAACATCAGGCTGGGACTTCGCGGACGAGTAGGCTGCTGACGCCTATATTCAGACGTCGGAGGAGGACATTACCGAGTCAGAGTCGGAAACCGACGAGTAGTTGATCTTTTCTTTTATCTGTGTACATAACAACTATCTATGTATCATTTTTCATCGGAAAAAATGGCCGGCGGTGTAGGCCACGAAGCAGGCGGTGGAGGGTGTGCACGCGCGGGGAGGAGAGAGGGCACGCGCGCACGTCCATTTTGTGTCCGCCCCGACGCAAATCCGGCTAAAAAATGGGCTGGGAATGGGTCAGCAGGCGGACGAAAGCGGACACGCGTCCGTTTGGGTCGGTGTATTGGGCCGTCTTTTCTGTCCGCGCCGCCCAAACAGACAATGGCGGACGAAATGGGTCGCCTCATTGGAATTGCTCTTAGGGCATCTACAACGCTAACCCATATAAATCACCTATATACACGTTCGGACCGTGCTGTCTGGACCGCAGAAATCATTCAACACGGTTATGTATCTATCCACGGCGCGGTCCGAACGTAATTTCTCCCATAAAATGAAGAACATGAGAAATTTTTCTGGAGTCCAGACATCCTTGTGACCGAGCAAAAGGCATCACGTATCCCTGTCCCCTGTGCAGATGGCGGAAGGCCGCTGATGCAGTTTGATGGTAGGATTAGCATGATTTAGCATTTGACGGATAGCATGCTTGGCTTTAGGCGGAAGGCACTAATCACTTTGTTTTATAATCTTCTATTTTGTTTCTTTTTTATATACTCATTTGGTGGAAGCAAGTAGGCTGACTGCTATACTTCAGCAAACTCATTCAAAAATTCGAACTGATAGAAGGAGGCGGGCAATATACTTCAACACTCTCCCTCACGTCTAGGCTATTTTATTCCTTAGACGTGGAAATCGATGTAGGCCGCAGAATCGTTTTATTTAATACTACGTTGGCAGGGTCTTGAATTCAAGACCTTCAGGCTCGGATACCATTTTGAATTCATGCTCCAGCCAATTCATTCAAAAGTTCGAACTGATAGAGGGAGGCAGGCGATATACTTCAACAGCTGCTAGTTTAATTGCGGGAAGGTAGTTAAAATGCTTAAGCAAGCTACTACTTTACTTGCTTCAATTGATGGAAGCTAGTTCAAAACATTGGATTAGTAGCCTTCCGCCAAAGCCAAACAATAGGCTAATGAAGCTTTCAATTAATAGCTAGGAGCTTTGGCGGAATATATGCGGAAGCTTAGTAGCATCATTTGGCGGGAGCTTTGCTTCCGCCGTGGTGCTTGGTGCTTATAGTGCCTCATTTAGCAGGGTGCTTAGAAAATATTTGTTACTAATTAAATTATAAATCATGTTTTTTTCTAACTTAATAGATGCGGATATATGCGGATAGTGTTGGATGACGATCTCCTGCATCCGTGTCCGCAGACTGGTCCCTCCCTGTCTGCAGACGAATGTGGGGAGAAAATTGCGGTTTAACATTGGAGATGCCCTTAACTCCTTTTTTCTTTGCAAACCATACATAACTCCTTGGCTACACCTTCTGACCTAAATTCGCCTCATTAGCATGAACATGATACACTACAAACGTTGACAGTTTAGCTGCCAAGCAAATTAATACTCCCTCTGTCGCTGATTTAGCACAATTTTAGTACAAAGTTGTACTAAGTCTGTGACACTTATTTTGAGAGTGAAGGAATTTATGCCAAAGATCTTGAAGTAAGAGTTCGTAAATTGATTCGACTAATCCAAGCCCAGCAGTAAAACGATCTACTACTACCCCCATCCTCTGCTTTATAAGTCTCGCGCACGTTTTCATCTAATACAAAATCTTTTATAGGCAGTTCGAATAAAATCTATTGTCTCAAATTTGGTTAATAAAATATAAAATTACAGGTTAGAAAGGTAAATAGTTATATCAATGAAAACTTATCTTCAATATAAATGTAATGATGCCCGCAAAAAAAATGTACTAATGATATATCTTTTGATACTATAACTAATATATCTTGTTGATCGAATTAATGGTCAAAAGTACTCCTTATAAAACAATATAGAGGAAGTAGTACTACTTCCAGTAGATTCCGATATGTCGAATCAAACGTGGTTTCCATCGGAATAAAAAGAAGGACGCTCGTCAACTTCGCAACTGGTACTCGCAAAAAAAAAAAAAACTTCGCAACTGGTAATGATTATTATCATTAGTGGTTTACAATTACTGCTGATATACATTATTATTATTATTACTAGTGGTTTAAAATTACTGCTGATATACTAGCAGTAGCTCTAGCACCCATAAGTTGAAGTTTGCAACATTTGAGCGTGATTAACAACGTACTTACCATGAGGCCGTAGGCAAAGACCTGGATGCCGGTGTTGCCAAGGGATGCCGCGGCAAGCTCCAGCGTGCCAAGATGGCCAGAGAAGATCTGCGTCGACATGGACATGAGGTAGTTGATCATGTAGACTAGAACGGCAGGCGCCGCGAGGCGCAGCAGCATCCGCGTCTCCACCGCCGTCGCTGCGCACATCCTCCGCACCCATGGAACTGAGTCGTCGTTGAGGATGCTCTCCAGCTCGTTGCTCGCCCCGTGCCCATCATGTCTGGCGCTGCCGGCGGACGGCTGAAGCGACGCCAGCAGCGGGCTCTGCAGCTTGCCGTTGTTGTCGCTACACGGAGCCTCGCCGGCAGAACCCATGCGGCGCTCTCTCTTTGTGTGTGTGTTTCTGTTCCCCACCCTTGTGGCTGCCGAGATATAGAGGAGCTCAGCGCTTTGTTTGGACTAAAGGGGGAAATACGGATTCAGTTATTGTGGGTGACATATCAAAAATACGGAGTACATCTTATGAGAAGAGAGTTTACAATGCAAGGTCTCCGTGCCCGTGTTCTAAAAAAAAAGTCTCCGTGCCCGCGGACGTATACGCGTAGGCCGCAATAATATAATGCAGGATAAACTGGTGCACACATTCCGCGTAAGCGCTGCCCGCAAGGCGATGAAGCTTCGCAACACACGGACAAAGCAGGTCCGCGGGGGTTCCACTGGTTCGCGAGCTCTATGGCCTTTAGTCCAAACAGCGCTTCGGTAATAATATAGATATGAAATGGCGAATCCTCTTTTTAGTAGTGAGTCGGCCTAGCGGACACCTACGTCTGTTTTTCGTCCGATTGAGGCAGTCTGGTAGACATCTACGTCCGATTTCGCCTTTGGGTCGACGCATGTGCCCATAGCTCGCCCGACCCATTTTTACGGCCCGCGAGAAAAAAAAGGACACAAATATTTCAAAAATGATAAAACATTAATGCCGGCCAGAAAGGCCGACGAGGGTCCCCGTGTCCACATCTACATTAATTAAACATTAAATAAAACAAAACTATGAGGCGGCGCGTCGTCCTAGGCATCCTCGTCGTCGTCGTCCGGACCGGTGAGGTCGATCAGCGTCGGTGCAGGGCCGGCCCATAGGAACGATGTGTTCCAGGCGTTGGCGATGTCGTCCGCCGCGCGCTGTGCCGGCGCTGGCCGGGCAGGACGCGCCTCCTCCTCGGCGTCGCGCTCCAGCTGCTCGAGGAACTCGCCCTCGCGGTGCTCCTCGGCCAGCCTTCGCTGGCACCAACACTCAAGGTAGGCCGCCTCCTGCGCCTCCGTCGCCTGCATCCAGACCGGCGGCACGCTGACCCACTCGCATACTACCTCGGTCCAGGAGTAACACTCGTTGGAGGTCGGCTCCGCTCGGCCTTGGCTGGAGACGTTGGTGCCAGCGGCAGCACTACGCAGTCGCCGGCTGCCGGCAACGCCATGGCCTCCGCCATGCGCGCCTCGTACGCCTCCTCCTCATCCTCCTCCTCCTTCCTGCGCCACTCCTCCTCCTCGCTCTCCCAGAGGACAGCCGCCAGGGTCGCCTGGTCCTTCTCGCGAACGACGAGGGGCTGCGGCGGGGAGCCACGTGAGACGTCACGGACGCCGCGCCGCCTGGCTCCTTGTGCTTGAAGGCAAACCAACGCGCTCAATAGGGCGAGTCGATGCCATAGGCGGGGTTGCGGCGTTGCTCCGGCGTCAGCAGTGCCCGCCGGTGCGCACCTCCTCTGCGTGCGCCCATGCCGACCGCGGCGCCACAAGCACTGGGATCCTTTCTGGATCCAAGTGCCAGTCGTGTGGCAGGGTGACATCGAGGTAGGGGAGAGGGACGCGGTTCTCCCAGTGCCACTTCGTTGGGTGCACTGGGACGTTCACATGTTGCGTTGGCCGGCAGGAAGATGCCGGCGGAGGCGGGGTGGGAGGAGGCGGGAGAGAGGGGTGACGGGGGCCTTGCCCTTGCCTTTGCCGGAGAAGAAGCCCATCCTTTGCGGTGGCTAGGGTTGCTGCCGACGGGGGAACAGAGGGTCGCGAGATGGGGACGGGGGGCTTCTGGAAGCGGATGAGGACGCCCCCCCACCCTGTCGGTGTCAAAACCGGCGGATCTCGGGTAGGGGGTCCCGAACTGTGCGTCTAAGGCTAATGGTAACAAGAGGCAGGGGACACGATGTTTACCCAAGTTCGGGCCCTCTCTACGGAGGTAATACCCTACTTCTTGCTTGATTGATCTTGATGATATGAGTACTACAAGAGTTGATCTACCACGAGATCGTAGAGGCTAAAGCCTAGAAGCTAGCCTATGATTATGATTGTTCTCCTCCTACGGACTAAACCCTCCGGTTTATATAGACACCGGAGGGGGCTAGGGTTACACAGAGTCGGTTATAGAGAAGGGAATCTACATATCCGAATTGCCAAGCTTGCCTTCCACACAAAGGAGAGTCCCACCCGGACACGGGACGAAGTCTTCAATCTTGTATCTTCATAGTCCAACAGTCCGGCACAAGCATATAGTTCGGCTGTCCGAGGACCCCCTAATCCAGGACTCCCTCAGTAGCTCCTGAACCAGGCTTCAATAACGATGAGTCCGGCGCGCAGATTGTCTTCGGCATTGCAAGGCGGGTTCCTTCTCTGAATACTCCAAAGTAGATCTTGAACACAAGAATCGTGTCCGGCTCTGCAAAACAAATTCCACATACCACCGTAGAGAGTACAATATCCCACGAGTCTAATCTGCTGACAACTTGTCCATAGCGTGACATCACGCCGCGGCTCGGTTATTTATTCAAACCGTTTTTCCAACCTGCCACTACGCGTTTCGCGAGGCGGTTTCATTGGCACGTCTTGTCGAAGCAGAGATCGTGTCCCCTTATCACGGGATTCTCATCAATACGGGCGTGGGTAACCCAACCGCTCCATTAGTATGACTCCTTTTATTAGGCAAGTTCCAAACGGCCGCGCGGAGGATGCTTGACATTCATCCTCTTTATAAAGAGGTCAAGACCTGTCCTTTTCATTCCACGCTTGATCCTTCCCTTCCCCCACCTCGAGTTCCAATACCCAAGGCTCAGTCCAAGCGCTTCGGACCTCTAACCATGTCCAGATCCAGCCTTCAATGCCGGTGGATGGCCTCTTCTATCACATAGGAGGACATCATGAAGCTTAGGGAGGCTATGTACTTCACCGCCGAAATCCTTCACAGGTTTCCTGCTCAAGGGCAGGTTATCCCTACTTCCAAACCCAACGAGGGTGTCGTATTCGTCTCCCACTTCCTCCGAGGGCTAGGCTTCGGTCTTCATCCCTTTGTTAGAGGGCTCATGTTCTATTATGGGCTAGATTTTCATGATCTAGCTCTAGATTCCTTCCTTCACATCTCAACGTTCATCATTGTGTATGAGGCCTTCCTCCGCATTACCCCATACTTCGGCTTATGGCTCAAGACCTTCAATGTGAAGCCAAAGATAATTGACGAGCGACACGCAGAGTGCAAAGGCGCTATAATAAGCAAAGGTGTCGATGTTTTATGGCCAAAGGGTTCCTTCCCGGAAGTTTCTGACCTATGGCAATGTTGGGGAACGTAGTAATTTCAAAAAAATTCCTACGCACACGCAAGATCATGGTGATGGCATAGCAACGAGAGGGGAGAGTGTTGTCCACGTACCCTCGTAGACCGTAAGCGGAAGCGTTATGACAACGCGGTTGATGTAGTCGTACGTCTTCACGATCCGACCGATCCAAGTACCGAATGTACGGCACCTCCGAGTTCAGCACACGTTCAGCTCGATGATGTTCCCCGGGCTCCAATCCAGCAAAGTGTCGGGGATGAGTACTGCCAGCACGACGGCGTGGTGACGATGATGATGTTCTACCGGCGCAGGGCTTCGCCTAAACTCTGCGACGATATGACCGAGGTGGAATATGGTGGAGGGGGGCACCGCACACGGCTAAGGAACGATCCGTAGATCAACTTGTGTGTCCTAGGGTGCTCCCTTGCCCCCGTATATAAAGGAGCAAGGGGGGAGGCCGGTCGGCCCCTTGGGGCGCGCCAAGGAGGAGGAGTCTTCCTCCTAGTAGGAGTAGGACTCCCCCTTTCCTACTCCTACTAGGAGGGGGAAGGAAAGAGGGGGGCGCCCCCCTCCTAGTCCAATTCGGACCATAGGGAGAGGGGGCGCGCGGCCCACCCTGGCCGCCCCTCTCTCTTCCCACCAAGGCCCATGTGGCCCATTAACTCTCCCGGGGGGTTCCGGTAACCCTCCGGCACTCCGGTTTTCTCCGAAATCACCCGGAACACTTCCGGTGTCCGAATATAGTCGTCCAATATATCAATCTTTATGTCTCGACCATTTCGAGACTCCTCGTCATGTCCGTGATCACATCCGGGACTCCGAACAAACTTCGGTACATCAAAACTTATAAACTCATAATAAAACTGTCATCGTAACGTTAAGCGTGCGGACCCTACGGGTTCGAGAACTATGTAGACATGACCTAGAACTATTCTCGGTCAATAACCAATAGTGGAACCTGGATGTTCATATTGGTTCCTACATATTCTACGAAGATCTTTATTTGTCAAACCGCATAACAACATACGTCGTTCCCTTTGTCATCGGTATGTTACTTGCCCGAGATTCGATCGTCGGTATCCAATACCTAGTTCAATCTCGTTACCGGCAAGTCTCTTTACTCATTCCGTAATACATCATTTCATAACTAACTCATTAGTTACAATGCTTGCAAGGCTTAAGTGATGAGTATTACCGAGATGGCCTAGAGATACCTCTCCGACAATCGGAGTGACAAAACCTAATCTCGAATTATGCCAACTCAATATGTACCTTTGGAGACACCTGTAGAGCACCTTTATAATCACCCAATTATGTTGTGACGTTTGGTAGCACAAAAAGTGTTCCTCCGGTAAACGGGAGTTACACAATCTCATAGTTGTAGGAACTTTGTATAAGTCATGAAGAAAGCAATAGCAACATACTAAATGATCAAGTGCTAAGCTAACGGAATGGGTCACGTCAATCACAACATTCTCCTAATGATGTGATCCCATTAATCAAATGACAACACATGTCTATGATTAGGAAACATAACCATCTTTGATTAATGAGCTAGTCAAGTAGAGGCATACTAGTGACACTATGTTTGTCTATGTATTCACACATGTATCATGTTTCCGGTTAATACAATTCTAGCATGAATAATAAAGATTTATCATGATATAGGAAATAAATAATAACTTTATTATTGCCTCTAGGGCATATTTACTTCAGTCTCCCACTTGCACTAGAGTCAATAATCTAGATTACATAGTAATGATTCTAACACCCATGGAGTCT